GAGAAAGAGAAAATAATAAGAAAATATTACATATTAGCCAAAATAGAGAAAATTACTGGAGGAAACACCTATTAAAAGTGGTTTGCTATAATAGCTTTTTAGCTATTTTATGTAGAATTTGGCTAAAATTTGAAGACTCTTCTGGAGATGCTCTTGGTTTCTTGTTTATTTAGCCTCTCATCTCTCAAGTTTCCCCACTCATCATCATCATTCAACAGTCAAGGCTTGATTTCTGAGGGGAATACCAAAACATCCTCTGTAGGTTTAGGATAAATGGGTCCTCTAGCGAGAAAATCTTTCTTGTAACGGGGATAGCACCATGAAAAAGTTATCCCGTGTGTTATTAGTGTCATTACGCTAATGGCCGGGAATTTTCTTTTTCAAAATATTATATTTCATTTCAGCCTCTTGACTCTTGACTTGAGTAATATGAAGATGCAATAACAACTCTGTTAGGAACTGCCATAAGAAAATCAACCCCATGGAGTTAGTTGGATGTGGTGCAATAGTAGACACCCCAGGTTCAACACACTCCCACTAATAATTCCATAAAGATCAGCAATTCGCGAGCCTTCGTAGAGTTTGGTAGGTAAGATGATTATGCAATGCAAAGTATTTAGTGATTGGAGTTTGCCTATGTAACCCGACTTTAAGATTATTTGAGGGTAAAATGTAGGAAAGAGATTTTATTCTCCATTAAATAAACAGTGAAAACTAATCAACAAAATGACTTCATTTGGACGTGATACAAAAATGTAGAATATTTTATGATACATACAACCCTTGAGAAAAATTAAACAATAATGCATATATGCATGCCCTCGCAAGCATGGGTTGGGGTTGGTCCCATGAGGCACTTTGTTAATTATGATGGATGGTGAAAGAAAGAGAAAGCCTTTAACCATTTGTTGAACGTGTGGAGATCAACAACCTTTTTGCCTCTTAAGCATTTCTCATCATACTTAACAATAATAATATATAATTAAGGAATGCCTATTGTCTACTTCAAGATTCAAGATTTAGTATTTGCACGCCCACAAAGCCACTTTAATGGGATCGCATCATTCACATCCATCACCCAAGTCAAGTATGATTATAGATTTTAATTATTTCTTGCCTATAACTCAGTCATTAAAACACACATGAAATGGTTGTGATGCATTACTAAGTAAATGTATAAAATGTATCGCAATCATCCATATTCAGAGTCCATTTGAGAGTGTGTGAAAATCAAATTAGTTTCATTTTTTCGTATGCTGATTCGAAGAAATATTTCTCTATTCATGTCTCATTGACCAGAGAGATAGAAACAATGATACAAGAATGGGAAAGTTTCTCCCCCTAAACGCATATGCAGGTCTGTCGAATTCTTTCATAATTAATCACAGCTGGGTTAATAGTTTAATAGCTTTGTATTTAATATAATATTAGGTCGATCTTGTGGCTTTCGTTTTCATGGTAGGCAACAAAATTGTTAGGTTTTGATGAAAGAAAGTCCACCACTAAAGCAATTATTTACCCAAAAAAATCATCAGGGGAAGCTATAATTATTGATTAGTGCAATCCCAAAAAGTTGGATTTGCAAAGCAAATGCCACCAATTAGTTTGTAATTTACGTAGCTTTGCAATGCAACGTTATTACGTTACAATTTTATAAGAAAATGTGGTGACCACTCAATGAAGAGGAAAGCAAGAGGTATTTGAGTTCCACCAATCCACTCAATGAGGGGTTCTCTGTGTGTGTGTGTGTGAAGGCTCTGAAAAATCATTTGGAACGTGTTTTCCTATCCCCACAATGAAGAAAGTTCGCCATGCGTACGTACTCACTTTTCTTTTATTTATTTATTATTTTTATAAAGGATATGATTTCCTCGCTTCTTTTTTCTTCACTTCCGCTCTCTTTTGCTTTTTAATACTTTTTAATCAATTTTGTTATTTCTCTTTCTCATTCTACCCTTATTCTACATTAATTTCTTTTTACTTCACTTTTCTTTTCATCTTTTTTTATTTATAAACGTAGTCACTTTTCTTAAAATGATAAGTGAAGTTGCACCAAAGCTAAATATGCATATATAAAGGCAGAGGTCTAAGGGTAAAACACTCCAAATATCAAAATTGTTATTAATTAATAAAAATATTAAGACATGAAACTATTTATTAATTTTTGTTAAAGTTAAGAAGGGTGATGGGGGAAAACTCGCACACAATACCATGGGGGTTTGAACTTAGCACCACTTGAGACCACAACGAAGAGTAAAGACTTGAGGCAATCCAACCCCATTAATAAAAATTAAAACTATTCATTAAATGAGACTAATATAGTAAATTAACAAAATTCCATATGAAATTTTTTTAAAATAAAAAACAAAAGGAGAACATGAGTCCTATGGGATAAATTTTTATCTTTTTAAAATGTAAATATGAAATACCTAATGGGCATCAATCTTGGGCCTAGTGCAAAAATTGAGCTGCGCCTTACTATGACACTGGGTTTTGGCCCAAACGAAACTAAAGGGTCGAATCCTTCCCAATTTTTCTGCAGTGCCTTCTATGCTTAATTTAAGACTTGAACCGCTGGTATCGGATCCAAAGGGTGAAAATGAAAAATGGGAAAGTACTCACAATCAGACCGTCAATGTTCTTCTCACCCCAAAACCATACGACGCTTGTCCCACCAAATCCAGTTTTCCCGCCAAACTACGTCGCTTCCCCAATTGCCTCCACTCTAACCTCTTCTCTGCAGCTCTACATCAATTCAGAAAACCCTTCCCATGGCCAAAAGATTCATACCCGTATTCTCAAAACTGGATTCAGACCCAATATCAATGTTTCCATTAAACTGCTTATACTGCACCTGAAATGTGGTTCACTGAAATATGCGCGCCAAGTGTTTGATGAATTGCCTGCACAAACTCTGTCTGCTTATAATTATTTGATTGGTGGATACCTCAAACGCGGGAAAGTTGAAGAATCGCTTAAGTTGGTTCGCGGACTTGTTTTATCTGGTGAAAAGCCTGATGGGTATACATTTTCTATGGTCTTGAAAGCCTCTACTTATGCTGGTAATGCTGCATTTCCATGGAGTTTAGGAAGAGTGGTGCATGCCCAGATAATTAAATCAGATGTTGAGCCTGATGATGTTCTTTACACTGCGCTTATTGACTCTTACATCAAGAATGGGAAGGTCAGCTATGCGAGGACTGTGTTTGATACGATGTTGGAAAAGAATGTTGTGTGTTCAACATCAATGATTTCCGGGTATATGAATCAAGGCTCTGTGGAAGATGCTGAAGATATATTCAGGAGAACGGTTGAAAAAGATGTAGTGGTATTTAACGCAATGATTGAAGGTTACAGCAAATCGGCTGAATATGCTTGGAGATCACTTGAGGTTTACATTGACATGCAACGGTTGAATTTTCAACCTAATACCTCCACTTTTGCTAGTGTTATTGGAGCTTGCTCGGTGTTGGCAGCATTTGAAGTTGGCCAGCAAGTCCAAAGTCAACTTATGAAGACCGGATTATTTTGGGACATAAAGATGGGAAGTGCTCTTATAGACATGTATTCAAAATGTGGAAGAATTGAGGATGCACGGATAATTTTTGACCACATGCCTCAAAAAAATGTATTTTCATGGACTTCAATGATCGATGGCTATGGGAAGAACGGATATCCTGATGAAGCACTTGAGCTCTTTAGTATAATGCAAAGAGCACACCAAATTGAACCCAATTTTGTCACGTTCCTCAGTGCTCTATCAGCTTGTGGACATGCTGGTCTGGTTGACAAAGGCCATGAGATATTTGAAAGCATGGATAGGGACTACTCACTAAAACCAAAGATGGAGCATTATGCTTGCATGGTTGATCTCTTGGGGCGTGCAGGAAGTTTGCATCAAGCATGGGAGCTGGCAATGGGGATGCCTGAGAAGCCCAACTCCGATGTTTGGGCTGCTCTTCTTAGTTCAAGTACTCTACATGGTGATGTTGAGATGGCAAGTATAGCTGCCAAGGAACTTTTTAAGTTGAATCCGGATGGTCGGCCAGGTGCATATGTTGCATTCTCTAATACTTTGGCAGCCGCTGGGAAATGGGACAATGTAAGTGAGCTTAGAGAGAAAATGAAGGTAAGAGGAATATCTAAAGACATCGCCTGCAGTTGGGTTGGTACTGATAGTGGTTGATGATCAGCCCTTTGCCCTGTTTTTATAGCTCCAAATGCTAAAATTGAATTGGTTCACTGAAAACAAAATAAAAGGTTGACAGTTGAGGACTTTAAAGCCAATAAATGCCGACTGGTAAAGCACGAGATGTTGAAGCTGCAGGGAGCCTCAAGGAAAGTCTATTAGTTTCTAAACCTGGTGAACAATAAAGGGAGCTGCTGCATACTGCAAACTCAGCCAGTGGTTAATCCAGTTCAGGCAATCGGAATGACTCAGCTTTTTGGGGAGAACGGACAGCTGCTTAATTTGGCAAACCGTAACTAAGCTCAGACTCAGAGGTAATTAAAGCTGTTCTAATCTTTGACAAGGAGATATTTGTTCTGGTGCAGAAAGAATCGGATTATAGTGTATTGTTGAGTATACCAGTCAATAGATGAAGCTTTTTCACTGCCAAAGTTAAACCATAAACCACAGTATGATAAGATTTGTTGATCAATAATTAAATATTTATCTGGTACATAAAAAGGCATAGGCATTGTGGCCATCACGGCTCCATCTTCAAAATGTCAAATGAAATGACCTTCTACTGATCTACTACAACTGAATTCACCAAAAGAAATATAAAAAAGAAGAAGAAGAAGAAGTTGAGAAGCTATTGAATTGCATAAAGAAAATTATATTAAATATTAAATTGCAAGTTCTAGAAAGGAGGTTTATTGGTCAAGGAAAGTGGGAGGAGGACGTGGAAATCTATTATTGGTTTGGTTGATCCTCCGGTCTTTTCAATGATTGTTAATTTTGGTTCTATTACGTATCACAAAAATAACGTATCACAAAAATAAAAAAGCTTGGACTTTTGGGTTTGGCCCGTAAAGGCGGCAGCAGAGAACAGGTCTCTCTCTGTTTGTCTCCGTCATCAAATAATATTATATACTCCGTCCAGAACAAGTAACCAAAAACCAAAGAAGCTGCCTATAGTTTATTGTCTTCTACAATCAACAACTACACAGAAGGAGAAACCAAAGAAGAAGACCAAAGCAAGAAGAAGAAAAAGAAGAAGCTATGAGCTGCTGTTGTGGAGACGATTGCGAATGCAGGCCTTTGGGGTTTTTACTTGGCCTGCCCTTTGCCTTCATCTCTCTTCTCCTCTCCGTTGTGGGTGTGTTCATCTGGATTATTGGGTTAGTTTCACTCTCTCTCTCTCTTCCTTTTCATCAGAATTTCAAGGACTTTTCTTTCTTCATGTCAAGATAGTGAAATTCTTTATATGGTGGTGCTAACGCTAATTAAATTGATTTTTTTATTTTTTGGGTGTGTGTGATGATTGCAGGTTGGCGTTGACTTGCATATGTCCATGCTGCTTGTGCGTGACGATCGTAGTTGAGCTTGCACTGTGCTTGATCAAGGCTCCCTTTTCAGTCATGAAGTGGTTCACATCTAAGATTCCTTGTTAGATTTCACTATTTGATAGCATTTTTTGTTCATTGGTTCTTGACCTTTAAAAGGCATGGGGTCCTTTTGTTCCCCAGCCCATCTTTGTTCATTCATAGTTTCTTTCAATCTTTCCTCTTTCTACTCATTTTTGTTGAATATTTATTCAATGAATTTATAGGGTAATATATCAAATTTGTGTTCCAGTTAGAAGCTATTATTGGTTTACTAGATGCAATTCTGCGCTATAGTAGAATTTCACCACAATGGATTTTGATTTTTTAGTACAAGCGATATTGGAAGTTTTCTCACACACTATCAAGATTACATGAGAATTCGAATATGAGACCATTGGTCTGCAAATCAATGCCCTTTATCAATGGACTAGGACCCCATTGGGTTGAATTTTCAATTTTCAATTGAGGAGAGAGCCCTGCAAAACTAAAAAAATGGTGCCTAACCTCACATGGAGTTGCTGAACATGCAAGATCCTTGATTTAGGGACATAGCCACTCCCTTTTAAATATGAGTGTGTGTGGGGATATCTTATGGATAGAAATAACTTCCCGTTGATGTGGTTTATGCTCTTTTGTGCATGTCTCTCTCCTTCACAAAAGCAAAGGAGTGTAACCCTTGTGACATGTTAGTTCGAACGCCTAGATGATGACATGGCATATTACAATGAGCGTAACAACGTAATAAGGCAATCAAATGATTAACCTAAAAGAACCAAGTTTGGAATCCACCAAATATGAGAAAACCTCTCATTTATTGAATTCAAAATGATAACATATTACCCTAGTCATGGGCTAAAGTTGGTTTAAATAATCCTGGAAATCCTAGGAAACAAAAGGGAATTAAAAAGAGAAATTAACAAAAGTAAAAAACTTGCAAAATATTAAAAGTCCCGTTTGGGATGCTAAATGATCTCAAATGCCCGAAAAAGCCCTTACCGTACGTCATGGCAAAGTGATGTGTTTTACTTGTGGTACTGTTCCCTTCAAAAAGGTGTGTCATAGGCCTAAATTAGAGCTTGGGGCCCAAAATTGCAACTTGTCAGTTTTGCCTTTGCGACGTTCCAACTCTTCTTCTATCGCCTTAGCCATCTATTCTAGTATGCAAAATTTCCACGAAGAGAATTTTAGTTCAAACACTTCAACATGAGTTACCAAGCAACAAACACAAACGAGAAGAGTTCGAATTAGAACTTCTAACAAGATTGCAATTAATATCACACCCAATAGGTATTTGGTAACGAATACACTCTTTGCAGAATCTATTTCACCTTTCAATATGTGAAAAGAGAGAATTCGATTATTTGTAATTGGTAAGAAAGAAAACACAAAAATTAACTATTGAAACACTTTGAGAAAAACGCCTTGGCAAGTCTTTTGGAATTTGGTAAAGGCTAATGGAAAGAGTAAACCCAAAACAAATCAAACCATAATAAACAAAGACGTCGGAATTGAAAGTGAAAAAACCAGCAATCAGCTTTGGTTTTGTGGTCTTCCCAAACGATGGTCTGGTCTTTTGCCTTCCTTTTTTCCTATTCAAAATCCAAAAAAATCCAAGATTCCCAGCTCATAGTGATTAGAATAATCAAAACCTAGAGCCTAAAACCACAACCACTCGAAACCCAACAAAAATGCTAGTTGTGTTGACATTTTTTCCTTTTGAAAGTGACATTAAAAAGACCTTAAGCGTGGGTTGTTTTACCACTTTAATTACAACTATCATTTTTAATAACTCGCCCATAGATAGTTTACCAAACCAGCGCTAACCCAAGTGTATAAATACTTTTTTTTGGGGGTGAATAAGTGTATAAATACTTAACACCACCAAAACCTCTCTGAAAACCCACAGCTAATTAATCATCACTCAAACTTCATTATACCCAAAAATATACACATGGAAGGGTTCCGACCCGCCAACTCAACCGGCACCCTGGGCCGCCACCTGGCTCGCCGGCTTGTCGAGATCGGCGTCCATGACGTCTTCTCCGTCCCCGGCGACTTCAACTTAACCCTCCTCGACCACCTACTCGCCGAGCCCGGCCTCAATCTCATCGGCTGCTGCAACGAGCTCAACGCCGGCTACGCCGCCGACGGCTACGCGCGTGCCAGGGGCGTCGGCGCGTGCGTCGTCACCTTTACAGTCGGCGGGCTCAGCGTCTTGAACGCCATTGCCGGTGCGTGCAGTGAGAATTTGCCGGTCATTTGCATAGTCGGTGGGCCGAACTCCAACGACTACGGCACGAATCGGATCCTCCACCACACAATCGGGTTACCCGATTTCTCTCAGGAGCTTCGCTGCTTTCAAACCGTCACCTGCCACCAGGTAAGCTCATATTGTTCTTCTTTTTTCTTAAAGTTTACATTTTTACTTTTTTTGTGTTACCAAATTTGTTGAATTTGGTGTAATTGTAATGGATAGGCCGTGGTGAACAATTTGGAAGATGCACATGAGCTAATTGACACAGCAATCTCAACAGCATTGAAAGAGAGCAAGCCTGTATATATCAGCATAGGCTGTAATTTGCCTGCAATTCCTCACCCCACATTTGCTAGAGACCCAGTCCCCTTCTTCCTTGCTCCAAAAGTAAGCAACCAGCTAGGGTTAGAGGCAGCAGTTGAAGCCACTGCTGCTTTTCTAAACAAGGCTGTGAAGCCTGTAATTATAGGTGGACCCAAGTTAAGAGTAACAAAGTCACGGCAGGCCTTTGTGGAGCTTGCAGATGCTAGTGGCTACCCAATAGCTGTTATGCCATCTGGGAAGGGGCTGGTGCCTGAGCACCACCCACATTTCATTGGGACCTATTGGGGTGCTGTGAGCTCTAGCTTCTGCGGTGAGATTGTGGAGTCTGCTGATGCTTATGTTTTTGTGGGTCCTATTTTCAATGATTATAGCTCTGTTGGGTACTCCTTGCTCATCAAGAAGGAGAAAGCGATTGTTGTGGAGCCGAACCGTGTGACCATTGGTGATGGTCCATCGTTTGGCTGGGTTTTCATGGCTGACTTCTTAAGTGCATTGGCCAAGAAGCTGAAGAAAAACAGTACTGCTGTTGAAAATTACCATCGGATCTTCGTTCCCCCCGGCATCCCTCTAAAGAATGAGAAGGATGAACCTCTGAGAGTCAATATTCTCTTTAAGCACATTCAGGTAAAAGCAGTGTTCTTTCTTGTGTTTTGGTCCATGTTCTGTTTGTGGTTCTTGTATTGAGATTTTATAATTTTTTATTTGAAAATTGTAACAGGAGATTATCACTGGAGACTCTGCTATAATTGCTGAAACTGGAGACTCATGGTTCAATTGTCAGAAGCTCCGTCTCCCTGAGAATTGTGGGTAAGACACAATTTCCTTACGCAACTCATTTATGTTTTTGAGCACAACCATGTGTAACTATGTATATTAAACAATAGGCTGCCAACCGGTTCTTTCAATTTCATTCAGGTATGAATTCCAGATGCAATATGGATCTATTGGATGGTCAGTGGGCGCAACTCTTGGCTATGCTCAGGGTGCCAAAGATAAACGTGTCGTTGCTTTCATTGGTGATGGGAGTTTCCAGGTTAGTTATATATGATATATGAGATTAATATAACAACACAGAACTGCAATGTAGAAACAAACAATAAATAAGTACAAATAATGAAGGATAAGATTCATAAGCAACAGTTTGTACCCACACTCCACTTTTCTGTGGAGCTTTTTTCTCGAAGTAGTTTACGTATGTTCTAGAGATATGGCACATGGTTAATAGTATTTGTTTTCAGGTAACTGCACAGGACATTTCAACAATGATCCGATGTGGGCAAAACACCATTATATTTCTTATCAACAATGGAGGCTATACAATCGAAGTAGAGATTCATGACGGTCCATACAATGTGATTAAGAACTGGAACTACACTGGTCTTGTTGATGCCATCCACAATGGCGAAGGCAAATGCTGGACTACCAAGGTTAGCATAAAAGAATCAACTTTACTTGCTCAAATGTTACCTTATTTTTGTCGTAAACATTTTCCGCCCTTGAATCGAGAAATGACAGTTGGTGTAAATACAGGTACGCACTGAGGAGGATTTAGCAGAAGCAATCGCGAAAGCAACAGGGGAGCACAAGGATAGTTTATGCTTCATTGAAGTTTTTGTGCACAAGGACGACACTAGCAAAGAGCTGCTGGAATGGGGATCCCGAGTTTCAGCCGCCAACAGTCGGCCACCAAATCCTCAGTAGCAGATTGGGAGTTGAACGAGTCAAAACTCGGAACATCTGAGACTGTGAAAGTGTTTTAAAGCTCCAACAGCCCACCTGAGAGAAGATAAAAAAATGACTGTAATTAGAAATAAGAGAAAGGAACAGGGTGGGTAGCTGGGTTGGCCTCTCTGTTGTAACAAAGTAATTTTTGCTTGCTTGATTATGTGCATACCTTGTTGAATATGTACGAGTTTGAAATATTCTAAATCCAACCGGAATTTACTCCAGTTTTTTATTTTTTATTTCGTAAAGAAAACCATAAATAAATAAATAAATATAAAAGAAAATTCCATTACATACGGATTCAAATTTCAGTTAGGAAGAAGTTGAAACCGTTAAAAAGTAGAGTGAAAGTATCCGGTAAATCGGAAAAATGAGTGCCACCGTGAGCATGTTGAGGTCTGCTCCCAGAACAGCCGTCCGATCGTACTCGTCATCATCTCAGCTGCAGCGCAAAGTCACCATTTTAGGAGCCGCCGGAGGTATAGGTCAGCCATTGTCGCTCCTCATGAAGCTCAACCCTCTCGTCTCCTCCCTCTCACTGTACGACATAGCCGGCACTCCCGGCGTCGCTGCCGACGTCAGCCATGTCAACACCCTCGTTCAGGTCTCGGGGTTCGCCGGCGAAGAGCAGCTCGGCAAAGCGCTTGAGGGATCCGACCTCGTCATCATCCCGGCCGGCGTTCCCAGAAAACCCGGAATGACGCGCGATGATCTATTCAACATCAATGCCGGCATCGTCAAGTCTTTGAGCGCTGCCATTGCCAAGTTCTGTCCCAATGTCAGTCGATGCCCTCATTGTCTCTTAACCTCTGTTCTCAAATTCATACATTTTTTATAAAAAAATTAGATTTATTTAATCTTTTTTTGTAATTTTGAAATAGGCGTTGGTTAATATGATTAGCAATCCGGTGAATTCAACAGTCCCGATTGCGGCGGAGGTGCTCAA